ACACACCAAACTGAGCATGTGCAGAGTGCCTTCTAGGGTCCTGTACTATCAATAAATGGATTGGGGACTGTGGAAGAAGGAAAGGATCAGAGAAGACAGGATCAAACAGCCTTTTTACAAAATGCAGAGAATTAACCCCTTAGGTTCCACACTGAGTATAACAAAAATGCTTTACTGCATATACAGACTGATTGCACTTTTGTGGGTTCAGCAACACTTTAAAGGATGAGGACATACAATCCAATAAAATAATAAGACTCTGGGGGTTTCTCTGTGGCAGAGTGGTATAAAGATTCTAGGGGAGCAGTGTGTAAATGTCTCGGTTCTGGAGCAAACATACAAAAGCATGTGGTCTGTCCCGACATTGATGGCCTTACATAGGTAAGTGGAAGACAATGATAAAATTACCTTTTTAAATCTTAAGAGGCATTTTTATCTCAGAATAATGTTCTGATCAATGCAACCATTTCCTGCAGCTCTTGTGATAACTGAATGATGAACAGTAGAGGAATAGCTCTCGAGCCATAAAAAGTATTGACAAGCGTCAGAAGTGCTTGTTCTCACAAAGAGGTTTTCCATCATGCTAGACTATCCTTGTGATCATTCAATGATTGTTCCCTTTTATCTAGTGATCCATTCACTGTGTTGTGTGTCACAATGGGCAACGATAAGGTGATGTCCATATATTGCCCTGTACTGTAATGTCTTTTAAAAAAAAACCCACAGAAAAGCACAATTTCTATATCAAATCTAAATCATAAAAAAGCATAGTGCTGCTGAAAAAAAATGGTGTTGTGTCATGTGGTGTTGGAGGGCGGTGATTTACCTCCGCGGTGAAAGTTCTAATAAGGAGGCAACATGTTTACCTTTCTGAAACGAATAACTGAGCCCTAATCATGGCTGCATGAATATCTAAAACATCTTAAAGACACAGCATCTCAGATATTTCTTGGAGGTGTGAATTGGTGTCCCTAGGAAGACCCCTGTGGACGGAGGCTGAAGTGGTGCTTTGGAGAATCTGATCATATATGCTGGCTTATTTTAATTGTAGGTGAGAGTTCTGGGACGGAGCACATGGTGTTCCGAAACACAGATAGGATTTGTGTGATCCACAACAGATGTGAGATATAATATATTCAGGGATGAACGAGAGTATCAAATATTTGAAGAAATATTGTGAAAGGGACTGCACAATGAACTTTATTATTTAATTTGGTTCTATTATACAGTTTGAAATGCATGATTGGATATAAGTGATGTTTTTTAAACCTGGACTTTATATGTGAGGTATGATACTACCACTTAAGTATTTAAGATCTTTTTTATGCTTTGCACATTATTAGCAGTGCTACAGTTTTTTTATGATTTAGATTTCTATGGTTGAACTGGATGGACTTTTGTCTTTGTCAGCCAGACTAACTATGTAACTATGTAAGATTTGCTCTGATTTGTTGGAACACAAACTGGTGTTTTAGCTGGAGGTTATTACTTTATTTACACATTGTTGTAAGTACACATTTGGTAAAAGCATTTACTTTATTTTCACTGATTGGTAGCACAAGATGTTCACACCACTATTTCTCTGGACACCTTCTATAGCACGTGTCAAACACAAGGCCCGCTGGCCGAATTTGGCCAGCTAGGCCATTTCATGTGGCCCTTGCAACTTTGCAGCCAGTAGTAAAGAGAAGGACAGAACTCCTTCTAGATCTTGAACTTCTCCATGCAGCTGTAGAGAGAATAATCTCTGCCCTCCCCTCCTCATCACAGCAGTTGGCAGCAGAGAGGAGGATAGAACTCTTCCTACAGATCCTGCGCCTCTCAGTGCAGCTGCAGCACCACCTTGTCTCAGCCTCGTCTGGTCTCAGCATTCAGCAGACTCTGGCAGTTGACTCCATCCCTTCTCTGGTCCTCCTCCAGACACCGCACATACTGCTTCCCAACATTGCTCCCAGCTTCTTCCTGGCAGCAGCACAAGGTAAGGGGGGGGGGGGGGGTGCGCTGTGATGTAAGAGAGGGTGAGGGACTCTTGACTTGTGATGGTGGGAACCTCTTGATATCTGATGTAAGGGTGCTAGAGATGCTCTGGACATCTAGTCTAACAGATACATCCGGGCAACCATAATGCTCATGCAGTCTATGATAACATTGCATTTGACACACCTGTACTATGGGGATGAATGGTAACATACTCTAAGTAATTGTGGGTGGAAATACTGATGATCACAAGCAGACCTTACCTCCTGACCTAAGCAAAAGATCTGCTCATGCCAATCTTGAATACCAAAATCTAATTTGTGTCTTACTTAAAAGAGCCTAGCATTAGCTTTGCTTGACTCTGTCAACTGCGGCACATACACTGTGTCTTCTTCTTGGTGGTCTGGGTCTAAAAACATTCAGCCAGCTTGCAGCTGAGCAGAGTGATCTTCTGCCCAAAAGTGCCTAAATAAATCCATTGCTGATATGAATCAATAGAGCCAATGCTGCAGGAGCAGAATAGCTCCTTCTCTTTGGTAAGCAACCATTGAAACCAGATATCCATTTAGCAGAAATGACAAACACAAATACTCCTGTACTTGGGGGTGGACTCAATAGAGGCTTAGACCACATCTCAAATGTCATGGATAGTGCACGCCTTGCTGCCCTCAAAGGACTGGAGAAGTCCAAAAACATTGAATGCAAAGAAAACAAACAGGGCGCACTGGCCTAGTGCATTACCTTAAAACACATTTATTAATAAAAAGGTGATAAGTAGTATACTCACAAACGACAAATACATCAAAGGCACATCATAAAAGAACAGCACATTACATGACTGTCCGCAATAGGAACCCTGGATCTCCAACAGGCTAACGCGTTTCAAGGACTTGCCTCTTCCTCAGAGCCAGCACAAGCAACCTTTTTTTTGCATCCATTTAGCTGAGTTTCCACAGACTGCCAATGTAAGGGGGTGGCTATGCACATTGGATATAGAGTCACTTGTGAGCCACTGGAGTTTGTATTCTATATTAAAATATTAATAGATCGCAGGCTCCCTTTCACATCCTCATATATATGTGCAGATAAGGGACAAAGATTATAGTATTAGGGTGCCGTGCTCTAATATTGTATAAACCTGATTATTATATATAAATAATAGGATTAATAAACCTGGTGATAAAAATCTTCATGATCATTATTAGACATGTGCATAAAATATCAAAACGTGGTAACCAGTGAAAAATCATTCAATTATAAATACTGTGAAATAAAAGTCCAAAAAAAAATATATAAAATGTCCAATAAATATAAGTCAAAATAAACAGAGAAAATACTGTGGAAAACAAAAAATGTTATTAAACATTGCACATTGCTGCTGAAGGCTTTGCTACTACAACTGCACTGCGGTAATGTGCAGTTCATTTTGAACGGCACACCCACACACCTCCATCCCAGCACACCACAATGCAGGGTAACACAATGCATGTGCAGGTGTGGACTTTGGGCCACTGAAATGTGTTGGCAGCCCATTTAATCTGCAATGTAAAACGTACTGCAACAGTTAGGAATGGTGTGAATGGATCATTACTCTTTTAAACTTGCCAAAAGAGCCAAGGTTCTTCAACAATCTTGGCGACACTTCCGTAGTCTAGACTTCCTGGGCTGCTGGTCCTGTGACATTAGTATTCTCCCTCCTTCACAATTTTGGTAGATTTCTGATCTTCACGTGCCCCCCGCACCTTTACCCTACTCTTTACACAGAAAACCCAAACCACACACGGGCCACAGAGTATCACAAACAACTACAGGATATTTTGTAATGAATATTTAATATGTTTGTGAGCATGGACATGGTGGCATGCACAACCTGGAGAAAGTCATCATGGTATCCAGATATGGTAAGATCAGAGTCATGATTAACAAGCTACAAATGTGTCATCCAGCAAAACTTGAACCCCATTAATTAGTGATTTGTAAAATACACTTGATGCCATCAACATTCCAGGAAAATCTGCTTGTATGTTCTTTGCTGGCATAGACATACAGTACTATATACTGGCACTTCACTCAGGATTATACATTGCCACGTAATACTGATTACCCTATGATGTTCATCCAACCCACACATTATTGTCTCAGCAGTAATGAAGCCATTTTTGTTCAATTAGTTTATGAACAATTCCTATTTTAGGAACAAATGCTACAGTGTAAAATAATTAATTAAACAGGCTCTCCACACAAACCTTAACAGTACAGTGGAATATTAGCCATAAATTAGGGAAAATGAGGGGGAAATCTCCCATAGGGAGCACAGAAATAGCAATAAAACATGTCAGCTTCTAACTTTTTACCAATCTACAAAAATAAATGATAAACAGAATGGTTCTAACACAGTCCTACTTTAACCACTAGCCTACAGGGCACTTATACCCCCTTCCTGCCCAGGCCAGTTTTCAGCTTTCAGCGCTGTCGCACTTTGAATGACAATTGCGCAATCATGCAACACTGTACCCATATGAAATATTTATCATTTTTTTGAGACAGATAGAGCTTTCTTTTGGTGGAATTTAATCACCTCTGGGTTTTTTATTTTTTAATAAACAAACCAAAAACAACCGAAAATTTTGAAAAAAAAATTTTTTTTCTTAGTTTCTGTTATACATTTTTGGAAACAAGTGATTTTTCTCCTTCACTGATGTGCGCTAATGAGGCTACAGTGATGGGCACTGATAGACTGCACTGATGGGCACTGATAGGCGGTACTGATGGGCACTGATGAGGAGGCACTAGTAGGTGGCACTGATGGGCATTGACAGGCATAACTGATGGGCACTGAAAGGCAGCACTCATATATGACACTGATAGGCGGCACTGATAGGTGGCACTGATAGGCGGCACTGACAGGTGGCACTGACTGGCACTGATAGGCGGCACTGGCACTGATAGGCGGCACTGACTGGCACTGATAGGCGGCACTGACTGGCACTGATAGGCGGCATTGACGGGTACTGATAGGCAGCACTGACTGGCACTGATAGGCGGCATGGACTGGCACTGATAGGTGGCACTGATAAGTGGCACTGACTGGCATTGATAGGTGGCACTGACTGGCAGCTCAGATGGGCACTGATGTGGCATTGATGTGCACTGGTAGGCACTGATATGTGGCATTGATGAGGCACTGATGGGTACTGGCAGGTGGCATTGATGGGCAATGACAGCTGGCATTGATGGGCACTGACAGGTGGCAATGCTGGGGCTACACTGATCATCAGGGCACACTGATCATCAGTGCCCTGATGATCAGTGTACATGTCACCTCCGAGGAATGCCGATTACCGGCTCTCCTCTCCAGCTGTCAGCGTGACAGCTCGTGAGGAGAGAAATGCAGATAACCGTCATTTCCCTATTTACATGTGATCAGCTGTGATTGGACACAGCTGATCACATAACCGAGCCGACATCTTCAGCTCTTTCCGTTGATCGGTGATCCGCTGTATCCAAAGGGACACAGCGCACCACCGATCGCCGCACTGCGTGCTCCCGGAGTCGCGCATGAGCGGTTAGAGTGGGAGGATGTCATATGACGTCCTCCCAGAATGAGAGAACCGCATTGCGCCCGTCATTACCTGATATGGCGGGCGGGGGAGGCGGTTAAAGTATACCCATGTGTGGGTGGGTGCAGCATGGCGCTGTGGCAGTAAACACACAGAGTCCAATTGCAAATAACAGAACTTCCATTGAAGTCATGGCCAAAAGACACAAACTGCTCAGTGGGAGAAAACCCGACTAACAACACTCAAAAAGCAGGTCCAGTGTGCTGACAGCATCTGCCTCTAACAGTGGAATGTGGCCTAGCTGGTCTGTGCCTAATTGGAAGAATCTCTAGAAAGGATAGACTGTCCCTACACTTCCGGAACCTTTCCCTACTGCTATTCACTTTCCCTGGCAGATGGGTAACCTTTCCCTGCACTGTCCAATCTCAAAATGCGTGCCACGTCCAGAAGCCAGGGTCTTACAAAGACTCCGCCTGACCCAAGATGGCCACCAGAATCACATGGGATGGCAGCATCCAAGTGGATTGTTTCGCTGGCAACCCAGGAAACCATAGAGGAACAGATTCCTCCTGACTTCCTCACCTCCTGCAATGCCGCGGTGGTTGAGCACCACCTGCAAAGGAGAATGCACCTGACAACATGTAGTGCACATAAAATGAATTACAGAATTGGAGAAATATTGGAGTTGCCATTTCTGACTTGTTTCAAAGGTATAGACTCTTAGGTTGATCCTTTCTTTACTACCCTGGAACAAGTAAGCAGACAGTGAAATCTGAAAAGGTTGACAGGTATTTCTGCAAAGTCAGCAGTAGCAGCACCCAAAAATCTATTCTAATAAGTTTCCTTCAAAGACAGTAATGTGGCAGTGCACACATATTACCAGTTTTCTTGTAGAGCATCTTGAAACCTTAACAAGCTGGACTCTCAGAATGCTAGTCTTGCTTTGAAGCTCAAGAGAGATCTGGCTCACCCTTTTCTTTTACATAGGCATGCAATGGGGTTGTTTTACTAAAACTAGAGAGTGCAAAATCTGGCGCAGCTGCGCATGGTAGCCAATCAACTTCTAACTTCAGATTGTTCAATTAAGTTTTGACAAAAAATCTCTGGAAGGAGGAAACCCCTCATTAGATAAGGTACTGTAGATTGTAGGGACTGTCTTTGAGCAAAGCCACCAACTGGTAATCACTTCCAGAGATAAACTTATTCAGGTCACATTTCTTCATCGTTTGTACTATACTCCAGAGACAGTGCATAGAATACATCCTGCTTGGGACACCCATTGTCCCCAATGTTGGGTACAATGGGCTCCTATTAACACATGTTTTGGGAATGTCCTAAAGTCTCTGTTTTAGATCTGATGTGTTTGATCTGATTAACCTTAGACTTCAGTTGTCACTCCCCAAGTTCCTGGATTTGGCACTGCTGTGAATGACACCCAGCATCCCCATTACACCAATCTGCTTATCCCCTTTCTCCTATTTTATGCAAAGAAGGAATTTAATTTTTTTTTTGTAAATGGGCTTCCACTGTACTCCCCCGCTGTGGCGTCCTGGGAAGCCACAAATGATGCTGCTCTGCGCCTATATAAGTTGACACATATCAACCGTGGCTGCCCGTGGAAGTATGATAAAGTTTGTCGACCTTGGACATCGCATTAGCCAATGTGGAGTGGACCTGGACTTGCCTTAATTAGACTAGGGGTTGCGTAGGCATTACGTATTCCTTGTACCTCCCCCCTGTGGGCTGGTTGCCTCCCTTTTCTCTGATACCCAGCATTTTTGCTTGTCTTTTTCCACCCTTTCCCCTCCCAATCCCACCTCCCCACTCCCCCTTCCCTTGAAGTGATGCCCTTGTCCTCCCTCTGTTGACCACCCTTGATGGTTTACAGGGTGTCGAAGTGGTTATAGTATGCAACCTGTGAGATGTTTCTGGATGCCTTTTATATTGTATATAGGAGTTTTTGTTTATTGTGAAATACCATGTCTGCATTGTATCTGTTGTATTTTCATTCCATAAAGCATTGCTGATTGTTAAAAAAAATTATGTTTTGACAAAAAAAACTGGAAGCCAGATTTTGCACTCTCCAGTTATAGTAAATCAGCCCCAATTTGTCAGTGGAAGTGCATCATGTTAGGGCACGGACATAACACTGGAATAGACTACAGGTACATGTTGAAGCCTTTAGGGGCCTTTACTTTCTAACTGCAGCCACCTAATTATCTTCCACTTCCTACAAGTATGCTTTAACTAACACCTGGATAATACAAGAAAGTATTAGAATTTCCTGCATACTGTATTACTATTAGGGTTCATTCACACTATTTGCTGTGGCTGGTGTTTTTCTGCACTGGATAAATGCCATTGACCACAAGGACACATAGACAACAATTGCTTTCAATGTGCCCAGTTCTCACTTCAATGCCGGTGTGATGCGCAGTGCAGTGCGTTGCAGAAAAATCTCTACATGATGCATATATACAGCAGCCTGTCACCGCACTGCAGTTCAACATACCATGCAGCTGTGCAGAGACTTGAATGAAGTGCCACTGAGAGCCATTATTAAACCTCAAAACAAAAATGTAATATATTGCAGTTTACCAAGCCTTAAATGTAGTAGCTGTGATAGTCTTTTCTTTTTAGGCCTTTATCCCTTTATTTCACCTGATGATCCAGCCAATTATTAATTTACAAAAAAACCAAATAATCTGTTGCTGCAACGGCTTAAAAAGTGTTAGAGTGGTTGTAAACCCTAACATATACTCACTGAAGTGACTGGCCTCAGATGATGCACAGAGACGAAACAAATCCTCCTACATAAGTTGTACATGTTTATCTGCTACATTCTCTTCTCTACAATCGTTCAAAGTGCTGAATTTCTAAAACTTGTCTGAGAGTTCAGAAAAAAGGGGGTGTAGAGCTGAAATGACACATGGCAGAGCTTAGTGAGGGGAGCTCTGAGAGCTGATTGTAGGAAATAGACACTCCTCCTCTACACACTGTTGCACAGGTGTCAAACTGGCGGCCCTCCAGCTGTTGCCAAACTACAAGTCCCATGAGGCAATGCAAGATTGACAGTTACAAGCATGACACCCATGCATGATGGGACTTGTATTTTCCCAACAGCTGGAGGGCTGCCAATTTGACACCCCTGCAGGAACAGAGCTGAGGCTGTCAATCTGCTGGAGGTCCCTCCCCTGTCACCATTTTTCTCTTGGTGTCAGGAAACATGTCAGAAGTGATTCAGGCTGATAGCAGAGGAACAAGTCAGCAGGTAGAAATGATCCTTAGTGCTCTGGATAGAGACAAGTGCACACTATAGAGGGATAATCTTTGTTCATATTTCATGTCTGAGGTTTACAACCACTTTAATTTGTTAGTCAATTTCATCTAAATCAGCTCGTGCTTCCACCCAGACTAACAATGCTGCACTCCAAGAGTGTCTTCATTGCTCTTCTATCTGGACTGGAGACACCATAAGGCTGGAAGTGTAATAATGACCAGATCACTAAGTGAAAATAAAGGGGAAAAAGCCTAAAAGAAGAAAACTAATACAGCCATCACATTTAAGGATTGCTGCAATATATTATCTTTTTTTTTTTTGGGCTTAATACAACTTTAAATATACTAAATGTAACTCCACAGCCCACTACAAAGTGAAAAAGCGAAATAAGAAGGCAAAAAGCTATGTAACGATTTTTAAATATATATATTTTTAAGAATGCTATGTGAATAGGAACATTTAAATTATATAAAAAAAGGTGTTATCCCAATTTGGCTGCAAAAGTGGAAATACATTCTTCCTCTAGTCCAAAGGTAGGTGTAGACCGTATAGTCATTCAGTCAGGACAATGTTTTAAATCCTAAATCTGTTAACATATCCTCATCTGTTTCTTACACAGAACAGAAATATTTTCTTTGCAGGGTTTTTGTTGTTCTTGGATCTAATGTGAGATGTTTGGAGCTGACATAAACTTGGACAGTACAGTGAGTGTTAGAACACTTGTTAAACTTGTTACTTTTTGAAAGTCTCTCTTACCACTCTCATCCAGCAAGAAATCATCCTGGTAACGGAACTTTTCTGGTCCGCAAGCAATAAAAATGTCATCATCACCAAAGAAATCCTGAAGGCACATCACCTGAAAGAGAGGTTATATAATTACCCGATTACCATTACATCTTAAATTCACTTCCACACCAGCAGCCTACATCAAGAAATCAGCAGGGATTCCGCAGTGGAGACGTGCAAAGAAAAGCCACCTGTTTTCAGTCAGATGTGCACGTTAATACATTTTAATGCACTATAATGGTCATTGCCTACAATGGCTTCCTCAGCCAGGCGATGGCTTTACCGCTAAGGCCTCACGTACACTGGGCGTACAGCCCCAATGCATGAGATTAAGGTATTTAGGTCCACCATCCAGCCCCGCGGCCGGCAGCATGTCAACTTCTATGAGAGACTAAAGGCAAAACTTTTTTTTTTTTTAATTTTGGATAAAGTAAAGGAGGGTTATAACCCCTTTCGGGTTTTTTTTTTGTCATCTGTCTCCTATTGGAGAGATCTCCCTTCACTTCCTGTCCCATAGCCAAAACAGGAAGTGAGAAGGAATCCCTCTAAAGTGTGGGAATGCCTGGTTGTCGCCAGAACTAGTTTCCCCGTTGCTTCTCAAAATTTTGGATATTTCACCCCCAGTGATAACAGTAAACAAGACAAATAGAGACATTGTATTTCCTTAAAGGGGGCACAGGCAGGAATAAAAACCTGGAAATGCAATCATTTTATTAAACATAAACTGCTAAATACTGCTAAAGATAGCAGCACAAAAACCCTATGACATTAAAGTGTTACTAAACTCAGGACCCTGCATTCACTCTACCTGGTATCCCACAGTACACAGAACATGGAAATGCAATTTCTTCAGTAATTATAAACTGCTAAATACCTTT